CACTGTTTTAGATTGTATTTTGTAGAAGGTGCAAGCTTATTTGGTCTACTTTTGGTAACACTTTTAAGTGTTAAAAGAGTTATCTAGTCACCGATCCAGTACAAATCCTGCGGTTTTTGTTGGTGAAAAAGTGCCCCCACCATCTTGGACAAAAATGGTAGAGCGGATTTTAAACGTCACTGACTCTTTTTTTTATGTTAAACAATCGTAAAATACGCTTTAGTACAATGGGTTTCTTTTCTGAGTGATATCGGTTGTTTATTCCTTAATTCGGTGTGATATTTTTCCGATTTTAGACTTCGAAAAAAAGCGCCCCCCCCCCCTCCCGCATCTATGAAAGCTGGAAAGCGGTTTTTCCGGTCACTATTTTTTAAGGATATACGTTTTACAGTTGTACAATCAAGGAAGAAAACAGTTCAATCAGTATGCAAAGGCTCTCAGCAGTTACATTTCTTTACTTTGACTGTTTATAATTCAAAACTGCAGCTTAAAATAAGCTTTTAAAATTATGTTCTACCCTTTTTGGCGCCCCCCCCCCTCTAGGGTTGGCGCCCGGGGCGGCCGCCCTCCCCGCCCTCCCTTAGCTACGCCTCTGCTGATGGAAGATGATGGTACTTCTTCTAATTCATATCATACCACAATGTTTTCATACATTTCACGGAACACAGTAGTTTGTATATATATATATATATATATATATATATATATATATATATATATATATATATATATATATATATATATATATATATATATATATATATATATAAATATATATATATATATATATATATATATATATATATATATATATATATATATATATATATATATATATATATATATATATATATATATATATATATATATATATATATATATATATATATATATATATATAAAATATATATATATATAAATGTATATATATATATATATATAAATATATATATATATATATATATATATATATATATATATATATATTTGATATACACTTGTAAATATGCGTATACTTATGTGTATAACTATTTAAATATTTTATTCAGCTGAATGTATTTAATTTATTTACCCCTTCCCCCCCCCCCAAAAAAAAAAAAAAAAAAGAAAACATGGTTTAACAATATAGCTTATTACGATTCTCAACCAAACCGTTATCCTCAGGCATATATATTGCAACGTTGAGTTGATGTAACCAGGGGCGTAGAGAGGGGGGGGGATGCGCACCGCACCGCTTTACTCAATTTAGGGGGGGGTGACACCAAGGCAAAAAAATAGCAAATTATACAGAGAAAAATGATAATTCAACTTAATTATGTGATTAATTCGAGTGTTAAATAGTTTTGTAAGAGGTGCAAATCGAAACTTTGAGCGGGGAGGGGGGGGGTGCAAATCGAAAATTGAAAGGTTGTGCCCGGAAAGGGTCTCTACACCTCTGGGGGGTGACACCATTAAGTGCCGCACCGGGTGACACCCGACCTCGTTACGGCACTGTAATGGACACAAAGTCATATTTTAGAACTAAGTTTGGTTGGACACAAATATAATATGTGCAATAGGTTTGTATGGTTGAAAAAAGAACAATTATTTAAATTAAACCTAACTGAGTATTTGATTTCATGACATAGAGACCATTGCCTATATATTCGCCTTGATTTAAAACGATAAAAGGGAGGTAATTAAAATGCAGCTGCAAAAAATGAACAAACTAAGTAAATATATATGTTTATAAAAATGTTAAACTCAATAAGAAAATATTGCTAAATTATGTAAAAAATAAATAAATGGACGTTTTAATTTATTCTCAAATTTGAGGTATGTCTTACATAGAATTTAAAATGTTCGCTAAAAATAATACACATACACGGAACAATAAGGTAAATGTATTTTTTACAAATTGGATCGCTTACTTTCATTGTTGCTATTAATACACCTACTATTGTCGAAGTCTATGTTGTGTCAATATTTGTTCCTCAATCCGGCGATAAGCTAAAATAATTAGAAAGCAGTTCATACACAAAGCGAGACAAGATCGGACATACTCAGCCCAACAACCTCCATAAATCTCAATACAATCGAGAATACTCTATGTGTGTATATGTAACAAGTTAGTAATACACCAACATGAAGACGACAAACATTCATCTCTCGCAAGTATGCTCTGAAAATGTGAAACACGGCAACATAAAAGGCAGTATAGAAACTATTGAAAACATGACATCATTAACGTATACAAATGCAACAACTGGCCTAAAACTCGCCCTTAAACAATCGGCCTTGACCTACACCTAACAGAACACCACCCCCATGACGAACCTATTTAATCATCCCCCCCCCCCCCCCCCCACCCTCCACAAACATCAATCCAATCCAGACTCCTAAATGACGAAACAAAATAGTATTATATCAACGTATATCAATGTATATCAACTTCGGCTACAAGTATACATCATAAGCCAACATAATTATTTGCATAATATACAAAGATAGTAATATAGATAAAAACAAACACCCATTAGTATTAAAAATAAATCAAAGGGAAGTTATAAAAAGTATATTAAATATAATCACACATTGTTTAACTAGGGAATTAGATTTAATGTGCACATATACTGATAATAAATTACTTATTGAAATATAGTGGTAAACATAAAATTTACTTTACATATGGTAAAAATATAACATTTGGTATTTATTTGTATTGTTTCTAAAAAAATAAAGACATTATGATTAAGTAATAATATTTCTTAAATATTTAGTTTTGGGTTTTATAGGTAACACTTCTTTAAAATGTATTAACTTCTAAAAATTTTGAATCCCTTTTAGGGGACGAGAAATATAAATGCAGTGGTATGACAACACGATTAAGTAGGTTTAAGATACTAGAAGTCGGTTGGCGATTTGTATATAACACTGTTGCATGTTAATCTATAACAGTTCGGGTTATAACTTTTGCTAGACTGTTGATGAAATATGTCGCGTTCTATTTGCAGTTTTCCTTGACTACCTAGTGTCTTGGTCGTCGTTTGGCTTGGTGTGTTGTGTGCTTGTTCCCTGCCTTGTCGTCTACAGTTGGGGTGGGGGGGGGGTGGATTAATGAGGGTATCCCCTATTATCAGTCGCCTAACTGACATCAACAACTGAATCAGTGAGCGATTTGTCGTCCTGGTGTATACAAGCAGTTGTCGCCTCGTGGTCCCTAAGGTCGTGTCCTCTGTATATGAGTGTAGTTCGAACACCGTAGCTCAGCCCGAGTTTATCTGAGCTATCACTCGAGTTTCTCACACCCTGTGTCCTTAAGTCCTTCCTTTACCCTTCGCGACAGTATCGCCTTCGTCGACTATGTGTTATAAGGTCATGAAAAGTCATTGTAATGTTCATTTTTTTTGTTGGTGTTATGGGTGGGCAGGGGAAGGGGGATCTTGTGAAGGTAGTTGTCAATGTTTGTTAATCCTCCCAGAGCAGGGGAAGGGTGTGGGGGGTCGGGTTATCTGCTCTTTCCTAGCCGTCAAACGGCCACTAACCGGCTTGGTGATTTGAGCCTGGTTGTTGTATAGGGTTGAAGAGAGTGAAACATTTGGTGATTTTAGCCTGGTTGTTGTATAGGGTTGAAGAGAGTGAAACATTTGGTGATTTGAGCCTGGTTGTTGTATAGGGTTGAAGAGAGTGAAACATTTGGTGATTTGAGCCTGGTTGTTGTATAGGGTTGAAGAGAGTGAAACATTTGGTGATTTGAGCCTGGTTGTTGTATAGGGTTGAAGAGAGTGAAACATTTGGTGATTTGAGCCTGGTTGTTGTATAGGGTTGAAGAGAGTGAAACATTTGGTGATTTGAGCCTGGTTGTTGTATAGGGTTGAAGAGAGTGAAACATTTGGTGATTTGAGCCTGGTTGTTGTATAGGGTTGAAGAGAGTGAAACATTTGGTGATTTGAGCCTGGTTGTTGTATAGGGTTGAAGAGAGTGAAACATTTGGTGAATTGAGCCTGGTTGTTGTATAGGGTTGAAGAGAGTGAAACATTTGGTGAATTGAGCCTGGTTGTTGTGTAGGGTTGAAGAGAGTGAAACATTTGGTGAATTGAGCCTGGTTGTTGTATAGGGTTGAAGAGAGTGAAACATTTGGTGATTTGAGCCTGGTTGTTGTATAGGGTTTAAGAGAGTGAAAAATTTGTGATTTGAGCATGGTTGTTGTATAGGGTTGATGAGAGTGAAACATTTGGTGATTTGAGCCTGGTTGTTGTATAGGGTTGAAGAGAGTTAAACATTTGGTGATTTGAGCCTGGTTTTTGTATAGGGTTGAAGAGAGTGAAACATTTGGTGATTTGAGCCTGGTTGTTGTATAGGGTTGAAGAGAGTTAAACATTTGGTGATTTGAGCCTGGTTGTTGTATAGGGTTGAAGAGAGTTAAACATTTGGTGATTTGAGCCTGGTTGTTGTATAGGGTTGAAGAGAGTTAAACATTTGGTGATTTGAGCCTGGTTGTTGTATAGGGTTGAAGAGAATGAAATTTTTGGTGATTTGAGCCTGGTTGTTGTATAGGGTTAGAGAGTGAAACATTTGGTAATGAAAGAGTGTTATCTAGAGGTCTTCCCTACACGTTGTTTCTACATTACTACATCTAGGTCTATTTCGGTCGGCAGTCCCAGAAATGTCTTTGGGAAGGGGGAATTTTTTTGTTTGAATTTTTATTTCTTATTTCTTTCCCATTATGAGGGATCCATCCTGATGGCACACCGCCTTGAAGTGGTGGGATGGCTTGTGTGCCCCAGCGACCCCCAGAGCTATGCCGGCGGGAGCCTAGTGCTCCTGGCAGGTCTAACCAAGTCGGACAGATCTGCGTGGGTAGGGGCCAGACCAAACGATGTGCCCTGGTCCTCCAGGTTGGGGGTTGTGCGATGGGCTAACTACTCGTCCACATAAAACAAAAGACAGTTACAGAAACCAAAGCCAAATCCGAAACAAATCCAGTCCTCGGGAGAATCAGGGCTCCACTTAGGAGAAGTATGACGCAATGCAGCCAAATCCGCAAGGAAGCTACAGAGCCGACCCCCCTTCTTCAACCGAGGAAAACTAAATCCACAGCCCCAAAACTACTGTCGCAAAAGAAACCTATCCTCATAGGAACATGGAACGTCAGAACGCTATGGGAAGCAGGGAAGTGTGCACAGGCAGTGAAAGAAATGCAACAGTATCATCTTACAGTGCTTGGCCTGTGCGAAACAAGATGGAACACCTTTGGAGAGACAAAATTCCAGACGGGAGAAACACTGTTATACTCGGGAAAAGAAAATGAGGACGACCCACGAGAGGCAGGCGTAGCCTTGCTATTGACAAAGGAGGCAACAAAAAGCCTGATGGAATGGGAACCTGTATCTGATCGAATAATTAAAGCTAGATTTGAATCCAGGTTTCAAAAGACCTCCATTATCATGTGCTACGCTCTTACGAACAACGCAGACGAGGAAGAAAAAGACCGTTTCTACGAAGAGCTTCAGTCGGTGGTCGATAAGGTACCCAAGCGCGACATGCTGATCCTCATGGGTGATTTAAATGCCAAAGTAGGCAAAGACAACAGAGGCAGGGAAATGGAGATGGGAACCAATGGCCTAGGGGAAATGAATGAAAATGGTGAACTCTTCGCAGACTTTTGTGCCTCAAATGAGCTTACTATCGGCGGTACACTTTTCACCCACCGAAGGTGTCATAAAGCCACCTGGATATCACCAGATCATCATACCGAAAACCAGATTGATCATGTCGCGGTAAGGCGTCGTTGGAGGGCCTCACTGCAGGATGTGAGAGCAAAGCGAGGAGCTGACATAGGATCCGACCACCACCTGGTTGTTGCTAAACTGAAGATGAAGCTAAAGGCAAAGAAGAGGCAACATGAAATTGATCCACGAAGAAGATTTGATGTAAGTAAACTTAAGACGCAAGACAACAGGACAAATTTTCAGGTCACCCTAAAGAATCGGTTTGAAGCTCTACAGACAGAAGAGAAAGATCTTGATTCAGTTGAACACACCTGGGAAGTATTTAAGCAAGCCACTATTGAAGCCTGCGAAGAGGCTCTAGGAGGCAGAGCGCCAAACAGGAAGCCCTGGATCACAGATGATACATGGCAGAAGGTGGAAGAAAGAAAAAGCCTAAAGAGCGAACTAAATCAAGCAAAAACACGGCAGCAAAAACAAGCAGCAGCCGCTCGATATAACGAAAAGGCTAAAGAGGTTAAAAGGAAACTAAGAAATGACAAGAGATTGTTTATAAATGAAATGGCAGAGCAGGCCGAAACAGCTGCCAGTAAGGGAGATCTCAAGACGCTCTATGCAACAACCAGAGCTCTGAGTGGGAGGAAAACCAATACCAACGTCGGCTGGAACTACCAGATTTTGGAAGTTTTTGAAGTCAGACCAACAGTTTTCTTATGTTCAAATGTTGTTTTATCGAAAGACATATAGGCTACAGATTTATGATAGCAAAGTGAACATAATAAAGTTAGTCAGTGACACGACTAAAGTTAGTCAGTGCCAAGACTAAAGTTAGTCAGATACACGACTAAAGTTAGTCAGTGACATGAGTAAAGTTAGTCAGTGACAAAACTCAATTAATATTTTGACAAGACTAAAGTTAGTCAGTGACAAGAGTAAAGTTAGTCAGTGACAAGACTAAATTTAGTCAGTGACGAGACTAACGTTATTCAGTGACAAGACTAAAGATAGTCAGTGACAAGACTAAAGTTAGTCAGTGACAAGACTAAAATTAGTCATTGACAAGACTAAAGTTAGTCAGTAACAAGACTAAAGTTAGTCAGTGACAAGACTAATGTTTAATATTATTTCCTGTATCTCCGTTTTTCTAATTTTATATCCCTTTGCTGGGACATTCCTAAAAGTATGTTTTTGGGATCATACACGTAGATATATTAAGGAAGCAGGGTATGCTTGCAGTATATTTGAATTAGGGGCTATTAGCAATATAGAATACACGTACAATTAATAATTTAAACTTATTATATTAAACATAATACAAGGAAGCTAACTTAAACTTGAATTTACCTAGGTGAAGAAATAAACCTTTGTATTATGATTCGGTTATTTCATTTGTTAAAATTGTATACTTTTACAAGTAAAATAAAAAAAAAATACAGGTAACTTAAAATTAGACCACGTGATTAGTCTTTTTTATATAATTAAATCTATTCAGGTATGATTTTCATCATAAACAAAAATGTTAACACGACTTGCTTTAAATTAAACACAGCCAGTAAAATCTGGTTTTTGGTATCGGTCAGATCGCTTACTTTCATGTAATCTTGTCATATTTTAAGGTTAACTAGATATACCTTTTGTTAGCAAGGTCGCTTACTTTCCATGTTATCAGGTCAGATTTTAAGGTTAACTAGATATACCTTTTTTTTAGCAAGATCGCTTACTTTCCATGTTATCTGGTCAGATTTTAAGGTTAACTAGATATACCTTTTGTTAGCAAGGTCCCTTACTTTCCATGTTGTCTGGTCAGATCTTTAGGTTAACTAGATATACCTTTTGTTAGCAAGGTCGCTTACTTTCCATGTTATCTGGTCAGATTATAAGGTTAACTAGATATACCTTTTGTTAGCAATGTCGCTTACTTCCCATGTTATCTGGTCAGATTTTAAGGTTAACTAGATATACCTTTTGTTAGCAAGGTCGCTTACTTTCCATGTTAAGAGGTCAGATTTTAAGGTTAACTAGATATACCTTTTGTTAGCAAGGTCGCTTGAAGTGATGGATCTATTTATCACTGGATTCGGACAATTCTCCAAATTATACCGTGAAAATAAAAACATCAAGTACTTTACAGTGGAATAAGCCAAGTATAAAATAGCATCTAGTTCAAACATCTGCTGCAACTGAGGAACATAATAAAAAATAAATATTTATAACATTATATAATTTGTTGGTCAGACAAATGGTAATCCAAATATATAAACTGGGATTAAGAATCAGTCTGGCACATACAGTGCCGGCGCCAGGTTATTTAGCGCCCCAGGCAATACGTATCAAAACGCCCCCCTCAATATATATATATATATATATATATATATATATATATATATATATATATATATATATATATATATATATATATATATATATATATATATTAGAACACTGTCTCACTAAATTTTAAATCAAACCATTTAATATTTATCATTGTAAAATATATCAACCATAAGACAACAAACCACACAGAGATAGGCTCAAACTCATTTCTGGCATGAAATAATTGAGTTTTAAAATGCTTTAATCTCATTTATACTCGCCTTTGTTTATTTTATTCTCTACGCAGCAGTGTGTGTTAGTTACTGTAGAACAATCACTGCTGTCGTCGATTTGTTTTTTTTCACTGGAGGTATAGTAGTTCCTCCATTGTAATTAAATTTATTTTTTTTGAAACACTGCGCTCTCCACTAGCAACGGACACTGGAAGTGTTAATAGTAAACTCAAAGAAAGCAACAACATTTGGTTTTACAACGACGCGTCATGGAGTGATGACTAAATCAACTTTAAAATTAGAAAATTATATGAAATGTTCCATATTAAAAGATGTAGATTAAAATAATAATTATCTCATGATATTTACAGAGGCTTGGCTTGGTGAGGGCAGGTTGGGCGCCAGCCAAACGTGGTAGATAATAATATAAAACGCTCGTTACTGAATTATATAGAAATAAAGAATGTTGACTGCTACTTGGCATTACGTACTTATTTGTTTTCTATATCAAATGTGGGACACCATAAAAAAAAAGACAAAGTGACAGGTAAAAAAGCGCCCTGGCCTGTCCAAATGAGGGAAGGGGGGGGGGGGCGCATTTTTACCTACGCGAATAACTATTAATAGGCCTAATTTGAATAGGGGGCGCCACATTGATAGTTCGTCCTGGGCACCGAAATAGATCGCTACGCAAAGTTCTTAATTATTATGGCGATTACAAATTTTGTGCCCACACCCTCCCCATATAGATAGCGCCCTAAACGGCCGCCTAGCTCGCCTTATAGGTAGCGCCGGCCCTGGACATATACCAAATAGCCTTCATCTTCATAATCATATACGATCTGGATCCTCACATCACAAATTGTGCTGGCATACGGAAGCAAGGCATCACTCGTATCAGGGGTCATACCACAAGGACGCTTTTGTTTGGGGTGTCCGTTTGTAGAGGCATCACTGAGCTTGCATGTTTTATTTTTTATTTTATTTATTTATTTATTTATTTTTTTTTTTTTTGCATTATTTAATTATTTTTGTCCCTGACAGGAGGGATCCAAAATTTAATTCTTGTTTGAAGATCGTTTGCCAATACATTGCACTAAAGCGATCGTTGATAAAACATATATTGTTACGCTTCGCTACTGTCTTTAGAATAAAAAAAAAATCGGAATTTAAAATTTGTTTTCAGAACACACAAAAAAAATTGAGTAAACTGAAAATGACGTTTTATTTTATTACATTTTTTTAGATACATTATCTTACTTTAATTAAATAGCTATTTGAATTTTATGTTCATTTGTTTTGCTAATTTATTTATAAATTAACTCCCTTGTATTCAGGTCTATGGAGGCGCATTTCTAGCCAAACGCTTTAATGGTGTTGCAAAAATCAAATACTCCACTATGTATACTTTGATTAATTATCCAATTGTCAACAGTACCTGCCTGAAATAGCATTGAATACAAAAAGTATATTTAGTTTATCTTAAAATATGGCCTTTTATCGATAACATCGAGATGTACTATATCTAGACCTGATTAATGTTTGTAATTATTTACAGCAACATTAAACCACACAAATTATTGGCATACCAGTATTTCATAAGATATTTTAAATAATCGAAACTTTACAACTTAGAACATTATGCTAAAAGTAGATCATTTCTAGTATAAAGCTGCAAACACTGTCTTGGTTTACACAGGAACATACACAGAAATTTACTCTCAGATGGCTTTTATTGACTCACTTTTACACTTAATACGGCCTCAACCAATGCTCATTAGCCAGTTACAAATGTGCAGACGTAGATTTCAACCAAGTTTTGGCTTACTCCCCAAGTTCACCAGACAATGTCGTTTTTAACATAAATGTAGGCGTTCATAAAATAAAAATTAAAAAAGAAAGCTGTATTTACATAGACATTAGAAAAACGTAAATATATTTGTTATAGTACGGATCGCTTACTCCAAACAGAGACACAGTATTTTTTACATTTCGAACATTATTTTCTAGCTTGTTGTAATATTAACACAAGAAGAAACTTAAACAGTCGAATGTACCAAACTCTCTCCATTATCCTGAATTTAATATGATCGCGTCTTGTTGTTTCAGGGCTAAAGCCATACAAACGTTAAAGGCATTCAATATGAGTAAAACATAAATGAAATATAAATAAATATATACCAATGCAATTTAAAATTAATCGTAACAAAGTGTTAGTTTTAAATTCAAGTGTGATTAAAACTATTACACATTAAAAGACCTGCTAGGTTTCAATGCAAGAAATGTTCTCTTTTTTTAGCGAATATTAGTTTTGATATTTTTTTTTTCCCTTGGATGTTACTAATTTTAGTTTCTTTATACTAGTTTATACCAGTGGTCGGCAACCTGCGGCTGGCGAGCCTCATGCGGCTCTTTGATGTCGAGATGCGGCTCTTCAGCTCCATACACAAATATTAATAATTGTTTTGTTTTATGTTCAAAACTCATAATAATATTGTTCTGCAACAATCGGTAACGAACGACAAAATAATAAACATAAACAATAAACACTCGCTATTCTATTAGACTATTTAGCTACGCCATATTTCAAAGTGCTTCCAATTAACTTGTCTATCCCAAATTGCAACATTCAACTTCATGGTGGAGATCACAAAGAAACTAAACAAACTAAATCTAAAACTGCATGGAAAGGCAAACCAGCCTATGCCTTGCTTGAAGAAGATGATTGTTTCGAAAAAAAATTACTTCATTTTGTTGAAGACCCGGAGTGCCGTAAATTACTTTATTTCGAAAAACCAGACAAAACAGATGATAAAACCAACACCACTATAAAAATGAATCACTTCAGCATTGCTGTAAACAAAATGAAGGATGGGTTCACTGAGAGATTTAAGCAACTCAAAAGAAATGCAAGTACTCTGACGTTCATAGTAGATTCTCTTAACACAAAAACAAATGAGATTAACTTTGAGCTATTTGGAATTGATTCTGGTTCGCTTCAAATTAAATTGCTAGATTTGAAAACCAAACATTTGTGGAGCAGTAAGTTTACTGATCTCAAGAGCAAGTTAGATGATTTGGAGGTTCACTAAAACATGCACGTTTCACTGCACAACTAGACAGCTCTAAAAGAAATGCCGCGAGTTGAGGCCCTACTAAGTGACGCATGGAATAGTCTTGCAGAAGGCTATAGTAAGGTGA